TAACGTGTGCATGACAGCCTATAACTAAACACTGACATATATTATTACCTTATAAAGTTGATAGGCCAACGTGCCAGCAAACAGTTGTTCTTTCACACATTCAGAGGACACAAAGCCCCATTATCAATCATATGGAGTTGTGTACGAAATTCATTCTCTTTTCACTCTTTGTTTGGTCAAACTCTTGATGCAAATATGCATCTTTTTAACTGCTGAATACTCCACTATGTTTAGCAGCTTTGTAAAGCTTTTCACTTAAAAGCTCTGCTGTGGTCGGACATCGCGATCAGACCGGTTAGAGTGAACCAAAACAGTTGCAACAATGAGCTGAAAGACTCCCAACCACTTCTTAGTGTGAGCTGAGAGATATTGTGGGTTTGTAACTTTGAGTGACAGTTTTTATGCACAGGTTTGTGAATCATTGTTAATATGAAAATATATACTGTTGTTCTCGCTGTTTTTAGCTGATTCCTGGTGATGGTTGAAATAGCAGGGTGTGAAAGGTGGAGCTTTCAAACAAAGACAGGAAGGCGGAGTTCAGGCAAGAAGAACGAATACAATTGCAGCGAAAGAGAGGATAGCTAACTCTGACATACCTTTGCAGCCTTTGAGCTTGATTTCTGTTGTAGGATCAAATTTGTATGAGCATTTTGTGTCATCCCTTTATTCATATCATTGGTTTTAATGAGATCTTTGCTTTTACCATAGTCACCCTTATTTAGCAAATTATCCATACTCTGAGTTATGTAAGCAGGAGCTGAGAATCAGTCCTACCTCCTGGGCTGATAGATGTGTCAGTTGCTTGAAGACAGGTGAACTCATGTGCTGCATTTTTATAGTGCTTAAACCTGATTGGTGTGTCTACAATTAAGCAATTATGTGTTTTTTGCGCACCTGATGGCTGTGTTTGACCAACTGGCTCATAGGTGTGGTAATTTGACAGTCAGTGCTTTGGAATTGTAAGGAAGTGACATCATGATATACTTCTGTGTCTAAAGTATACAAGTGTGTTTAGTGTTTTGCAAAAAGTGTGAGGCTGACATTGTGCTTATAGTGGTGCAAATGTGGGCCGATGTTTTGCTCGGTGAGTGTCAGGTTTTGATAATTGTGTAATACTTTTGATTGTAGTGTTTATGCAATCGAAAAAAAACTGTAATTCTTTTCAAAAAACACTACTGCAGCCCCACAGTGCCTCAGGGAGTTCTGATGTTTATTTTAAAGTGTGGGAAGGTTAAGTTTGATTTCGGACTCCGATCACTGAGAACTTTATATGAACCTCTTCCTCAAATCATGTTCTCAGATTCTATCTCTCTCTATTTGTGCGTGCGTGCGTGTGTGTGAGGGTGTGTGTGTGTGTGTGTGTGTGTGTGTGTGTGTGTGTGTGTGTGTGTGTGTGTGTGTGTGTGTACTTAATGCAAGTATATGGTGGGAGTAAAAAGTTTTACTTTTTCACTATAATCAATCACAGACACTCATGAAAAATACAAAAATACCCAGGGGAAAAAAATCTCTATATTTACAATTTTATTTTATTTCGGTAAAATCTAAAATCTACTGGACATGATGTATAATCTTCATAAATTATTTTTTTAAAGGGGTTATTTACCTCTTTCTCATATATCTGTCCTGTATGAACTAATCAATTAAGTCAGAATTATTAAAATAATTCATATAAAACAACCTCTGAATTTAGTCTTAGAAACACATGTGAGCGGTGGGTACAGTATTTGCTGTTTAGCATAACATAGCTGCACATAACTGAAGATGATCAAACCTCAGTTCAGACATTACAAAAGACTGCTGATTCATCCGTTGACATGGCTGCAATGGTGGAGTATGTGACTTCTGCAGGGCGGGGTGTAGCAGTGCTGCAGTCTGTGTGTTTGTTGAAGCTGATGGTGGAGTAAAAGAGGCCGACTGGTTGATTCTGGACGTCTGACGAAATGGAAGGACTGTCCGTACGGTCTCTGCTCGCATCTTGGTGCTGAGCGGCTGACGACGAAGTGATGATATGTTGTGCATCTTGATTCAGACCGGACGGTGTGGCGTAGACTGTGTCATGGTCCTTTCCTGTATTGAGAGCGAAGATACATTGACAAAGTTTTAAATCCCCTAGAAATGAAAACTATATTTATCTCTTTGACTTCCTGAAGAACAATCAATATTTGTATTGCTGTAATTCTTCATTAAAAGCTGCAAACAATAAATGTCAAATGAGTGAAGAACAACAATAAAAATACAATATACTTCTATCTATTTGATGACATTGCATAATTTTTGCATTATATCCTTCCTCAACATTTAGTTTCAAACAGTCAAGTCAAAAATAGGCCAAAAACCACATAGTTTTTATTTTTATGGGAAAATCTGTCCAACACATGAGACACTGTATCCTAGGATGCTCGATTCGAAAGAGGAAAAACTCCCTCAAAAGATCCTTTAACTGGGAAAAAAAATGGAAGAAAGCCCAGGAAGAGCAACAGAGGAGGGAGCGCTCTTCCAGGACAGACAGGCATGAGAGGGACGACTCCGAGTTCCAGTTAAGGTTGAGCATTGAGAACCGGTTCCAAATTAGAACCGGTTCCAAATTAGAACCGGTTCCAAACTTCAGATTTCAAAAGAATCATTAAGAAATGTTTCGGTTCCTTTTTGATGGCATTAGTTTCGGTTTCAGTACCAGGTCACGCTTAGCCTATCAGTATGGTAGGTGGCAAACTTATTTCGTGCAAGGGAGGCTGCGCTACTAACATGGTGAAACACCTTTGCAAGCATGGTGTGCAAATTAACGAAGTGAACGGTTTTTGGCCCGTTGTGCCGTTCTCTCTTTCCCTCTCCACTACTTTACTGTCACAGCACACTATTGTCACAGGGTTCGAGTTTTGTATATTTGTCCCTCGGTTCGGTTGCGATTGTACTCATTGTGTACAACTCTGAGATATTTGTAGTTTAATTGTAATTTAATTTCATGTTACTTTTACTCCTCTACGTTTGATGTATTATAATAAATTAAGCTATGCAGCAGTATTTATCACTATCTTTGAGTCCAGTGTCCACTTCTTAAAATACATCTTTGGGTGGTTGTTTCTAACGGTTGCTAAGTTGATGCCATGGATGTCTAAGGTAGTTGTTAGAGCATTATGAGGTGGCTGGCAGGTGCTCGCTATAATTTTCAGGCCTCCGTGTTACTCTGGGGCACCATTTCTACGGTGTTTGGTATGGCTGTTGTGGTGATTCTGGGTGTTTTCGACCAATTGGTGCTTGAAATTGCCATCATATTCTGAAAATACTCTTAAATAAGTTGGTTTGTCTTATACCAGAAGAGGCGTCTCTGTTTCGATATCTGAAGAATATCAGCAGTACCATCGCCAGAGCCAGTACAACCACCCCGAGACCTGCTCCGATGTACACCAGCTTCCCTGAAAAACAGACACCATCACATGTCAGTGATGATGTATCGCTCAGGACTTTGTCTCTCACACACAAACATATCTACACACACCCAGACATTGCCTTACTAGGATGTGAAGCATTTGTATTAATTGCCTCACCTGAATTTAATTGTAGCAAGTCATTGCTCTTTCCTCCCCCTGAAAGAAAGAAAAAAGAAAGATAGAATTATGTTAATTTTATTCCTTGTCGTGTCTCTCAGTGTTGCAGTGTTGTGAAATACTGGCTACATGTTGATGAGAAGGAAATCACCCAAAAAAAACAAATTTTGTAAGTGATGAAGCATAAAAACATCATAAAAGCTATTCATGTACAGTACTGAATCGACTCACCCTTTATGACTGTGAGGATTACTTCATTGTACGTGTCAAAACCAACTCTTTCTATTCCACACCAGTAAATTCCCGCGTCATCCTGTGTCAGTCGAGAGATGGTCACAAAGAATGTGTTTCCTTCATCTTTAATACTGTATTTACTCCATGAATCTTTATTCTGTTCTCTGCTAGTTATTAGGACGTCTTCATCGTTACACGCTCCCTTGCAGAAATATTTGATGTTGGAAAATGCGTTTCCATGAGAGCACTCTATTGTGATATCCTTGTGAAGCACTCCTGTTAGTGACATCGCTTCAGCCTCCCATAATCCTGCACAGAACACACACAGCAACAAAAGTCAGATCTTCATTCAGTTTTCAATCAGCTGCTGAATGCATTTGTTGTTACTGCGTATTTTCTGTAAATTCTCCCGATAGACCTCGTTCTGTAAAGACGTTTTTGTTTGTTTCATTTGGATATTTTAGAGAGACGCTAAGAGGTAAAGCTATGTATATTTCACAGAAAAAGCAGATGTTAGAGAAGTTGGAAAAAATTATCAGAATTTTAAGCGTTACCTTTTGTTTTATTTTTTTATTTTTTTGTTTTTTTTTGTTTTTATTTTTTTAATCTTTTTGTGCCTTGGGAACTTCTGCTTTAAAGGTGCACTCTGTTACTTTCCCTGTTACAAAATAACCTCCTTCCAGCTCACTCAAATTGTTTTACAAGTCAACACAGTTTATGGTTGTGGCTAAAAAAACAACAGCAAGCCAGTAGGAAATACAAGGAGCTGGGAGGCACTGCGGGTCCCCCTAATAAAAACAGGAAGGTGAGTTAAAAAGTTGACCAGAGAAAGGTACCAACCAAAAAGACACCAAACACAGACAGAGGGAGAGGACAGAAGAGGACAGAAGAGTAAATTTCAGTAAACATACCTCCCTCAAGAAAGACCAAAATGATGAAAATCATCTCCGTGCTACTCATAGGATTCATGCGTTTTTCACTCTTTCCTTTGTCTTTTCTTATCTCAATTCTAATTTCACATCCAAATAAACGACAACACTGCATTTGCTGCATAGGTTCCTCTTTTTTGTTGCACTTCCTATGTTTAGTCAGCTTCCTCTCGCTCCAAAACCACTTCGAACATGTGAGAAGCATCAAAACGTCTCACCCATTCACTGTGTCACAGTGAATGTTTAAAACGTAATGGGACAGTAAAGAAGCGACACGGAGACACCCCACTCTCAACCGCTTGGTTTATTTTGGTGATTTTTACCATAATGCAAAGTGAGACACTAATCTTCTTGGTGGACTTCATCAGTTGACAAACACTCTTTTCAGTCTTTTCTTTGTGCCATCCAACACGGCATATTTACATCTAGACATGACAAAACACAGCAAATGTACACTATAACTAGTTTACTTGCGAAAGTTCCTGAGTTGTTAACTTTTGAACTGGTTAACTCTTTAATCCACGCACAGTAAAGGATAATTCTGGTTTTTTGAAACCTTGATGTCATTGTTGCAGTTCTGGCCACCATTCAAAACATTAATAATATTCTAATACTTTGCTTGCCAAGCAGCGAGTAGAAATTTATTCTGAAGGAAACAGTGGCCAAAACTTCAAAACTAGGACCCAAATTGTAAATAAACTGAAGTTACACAGTCATTTCAACAGTTAATCTGGGGTTTGACTCCCAGATATCCATCTTTAGGACTGCTGTTTCCATTAATGCTGTGATAGAGGTGCTCCTCCAACCGGCTGAAATCCAGATGTTGATACTGGCAGATGTTCCCTGGTAAATCCACATCAACATAATCACCGAGGCCGAGGGTGACGGTGGACTCCCGGTGCTTTGAAGTGAAGTGGGAGCAGAGGTCAGGTGGTGGCGGTGCTACAGGTGAAAGGTCAACGCAGTCTTGAGTAAAAGAGGTGCAGCGGAGTTCAGGTTCAGTTTCCACACCGGGCATCATGGTCTCGTAGTCAGATGACGCCTGTGGGGAGAACAGAAACCGGCTGACAGCGAACTGCTTCTTGCAAGTGTTTTTAGTGTTTCCAAGGCAACGTGTTGTTTTTAGTAGGAAAACCGAACTAAGAGTCTACAGCCAGGCTGGCAGCTCTGTGCTCTGAGCTTAATGCTATCACCAAAATGCTAACATGGTCACAATAACAATAGTAACATACTGTTGTTAAACACATACAATGTTTACTGTGTTTGCCATCTTGGTTCAGTGTGTTAGCAGGTTAATGTGCTAATTATCAGTAAACACAAAGCACAGTTGGAGCTGATGGGAATGTCATTAGTGTTGCAGGTAATTGATCATAAAAACTAAAATTACTGGACAAATTGACCTTGGATCACCAATTCATCCTTAAGGCCAAATGAATGTGTGAACCAAATTTTATGTTAATCCATCCAGTAGTCGCGGAGACATTTCAGTGTGGAAGACTGAACGACTGACATTGCCATTAATGGTAAAAAAAAAGAAGTTTCCGTCAAGGACAAACCTCTCTGTTCTGGTGCGGGCCTGATCTTTGGTGTTTAACAGCCCACAGAAGACAAAGTGTAAACAGACACACAAACAGGATCGCTGCCACACACATCACTGCAGTCAGGAACAGCGACATGTGGAACTCTGGAGGAAAGAACGACAACTCAAGTTTACAGAGGATTCACACACACATACACACACGCACACACACACACACACACACACACACACACACACACACACACACACACACACACACACAAATACATGTGGACACACACACAAACACATATCACTCACTGTCAACTGTGAAGTCCATTGGAAAGTAGGGCTTTACAGTATCTGAGATGTGCAAATACAAAAAAAAAAGGAAAGTATTTATATGCACACAAGTGAGATGAGCACACAGAGAGACCTGATGTACTGATAAAATCTTACTTACTGTGCTGTGTGAGATTTTCTGGAGGTTTTGCTGTTCTCAAAAGGCGCAAAAAAAAGATAGTTAGTTTACAGAAAGTTACATGTCCACTTTTAGAAACCTGTAACAACCAAACAAAGTAGCATTTTCATAGAATAGAAAGTTCAAAAAAGAGGAACACGTACAAAATTAGAAAAAGTAGCCCGGCTCAGTTCTCATTTACAGCAAAGCCTGTCATTTTTAGTTCGCGATCACCATGTGGATATCTCAGGACAGAATGCCACAAATGAAAAATTTCGGTTGTAAGGGCAGGTAGATTTTGAATCAGCCCTGTTACCTAACGCAACAGCTTGCCAGAGATAGCCAGATAGACTAGACAGTATCTGTCTTGTAACATTATGTCTTTAGTAAAGTAATCAATAACCAGAATCTAGATTTATACTATATATATATTCAGGGTGTAATATGCAAAACTGGAGACCATATATAACAATTAATAACCAGCGATCCTGTGCTGTGACACGACATACTGTACCTCGAGGAACATTCAGTTGTATTTCAATGATGCGATCGCGGCGTAAGCTGAGGTCCACCCCGCACAGGTATGTCCCACTGTCCTCTGGGACGAGTTTGTCCACCTTGATGATGATGAAGGCTCCGGTGGTGTTGTCGTACAGGGAGAAATGTCCATTTGTCTCCCACTGGTCGTGTTTGTCTGTCCATATCAGGGGATTGTCGTCGTCATCACGGCAGAAGTACTTAGCATTGCTCCACAAGTCGCGTGAATATTCACATCTGAAGGAAAGTGTTTGACCCTCCACACCGGTCACAGTTGTGACACTGGTCAGCGCTGTCAGAATAAACTGTGTTAATTAGCTAACTGCGTCTATCAAAGCAGCTTCAACAGTCTAAATGCATAGTGTACAGCTCACCTTGGATCTGTAGTAAAATAGTGATAACAGATAAAGTTGTTCTCAACGAGATCCAGCTTGCTCCCATCACTCCCAGTTTAACTTCAGGTCCCACAGTCCGATTCTCCCCCAGCTTCACAGAGAGGCTTAAGGTTCTGACTGTCTGTTCAGTCACATGCTCTCATATCCATGTGTTTAAACCTCTTCCTCTTTCATGATCAAACCTATCCACACATAGCAATCAACCTATGAAAGTGAAATTGTGGGGAGGTGTGTGACTCAAAAACTGACCTTAGGTGTGTCTTCATAAACTATTTTCTACGCCAGCTAATCAGTTTAATCACAGTTTTTTTTTTATTTAGTTAAAAACCAAATGCAAGTTCAGTTTGTTCCATCCCTCCATGCCACCCCATCTTCCCCTGTAATTCACCTGTGTTATCACAAACTGTACTTATGGTATCTGGTACCACTTCCTACTAAGTAGGTGTGAGAGGGACAAACACCAGCCAAGGGGATTTTTCACAATGTGCCAACCCAAATTTTGTTATTGCTGACCTACAATGTATAAATAAATTATTAATTTACAATTGAAGCTGTACCAATCAATATTTTTTTATTGACTATGGAACAGTGACCTTGTATAATGTGAATGGTTTCACTCAAAGAGAATAATGACCAGACTCTGCTGTTAACGGCTCTATGGTGTATCTCATTGTTTTGGTTTTAAAGCCCATATCTTCACTGTTTTGAATTACTCTCACCACTGTCATTACAGTTGTCTCTCACCACAGCAAGAAGCTGTTTCAGTTTTCTTTGATAAACCAACTGCTAACTGGCCAGCACTAAACAGCAGACACATACAGTTAGCAGCTAGCTAGTGAACACAGTTCTCAGGAGTTGTTAGAGATAAAAACAGAGCTATAAGAGTGTACATATTTGTCAGGTTGCCAGAAACAAGACTCAAAATCAACTCAGATCATTTGTAAACTCTTTGTAAAGTATGCTTTATTAAGAAACGGTATTGGTCATCATTTGTATCTTTACATGCATTATTATTAACATCTGATCTATGTAACAACAACAGGTTTCAATACTTGTTAAACATTCCAATAACAAGCACATTAACAGTGATATTTAGTAGGAACTCGAAACTTAAATGTGAAAGGTGAGTTCAGGAATGATGCCATCAGTCTTATTGTGTAAGACTGAAAGTAAGTTGAATCAGGAAGTCAACTTTTTTGTTTATTATATATATATATATTTACATATTGTTTATGATGTATATCTCATATGTCAGTGTGCAGTGCTGTCTGCTATGGTGTCTTTATTGATATAGCCACTAGGAGTAATCCTAGTCTAAACCTTTAACATAAACTTTTCAGCCCATGAATGCAGATATGTGTATTTGACTGTGCAGACTCATCTTATTACTGCCTGGTTAAGGCCCCTTCTCCATACGTGCTCTCAATAACTGCAAACACACATTAAAAGTATATGCATCCTGACATAATTAACCACAAACAATCATATATAATCACACACACTCAAACACACACACACACACACACACACACACAAACACAATCAAACGCCTCAACACAGAATGCAATCCAATGCAAGAACACTGTCATGTTACAGTTAGAAAAGAGTCTCTTGAACATTTTAAGCTTCAGCAAGATACATTTTAAAATAGGGCTACTATCACATTATGTACAGCCGGATCTTTCTGAGTTATAAGGACTACCATCACCTTCACCATCCTTTTTCCTTCCTTTCTATTTCCTCTCCCTGTGAAGTAACTGTAAAGTAGGAAACTATAATATTCCTCTGTTTCCTTCTAACTATTCAAAGTCAGATTTCCCACAGACGATCATGAATCTAGATCAAAACAAAGATAGAACATGTCTATACCCCTCAGCTTGTCTTTGTAAATGAGGAAAATTAAGTTTTAAGTAAAAGATAAATGCTGCTTATGAGTGGACGTACAGCTCAGCTGCCCATTAACGGCCAATTAAAATCACATCTTTGAGATAAACTCAGACTGTTCCTGATAAATCTAAACCAAACCAAAGTGATCTGGGCTTCGACTTAGTGGAATCACTGCAGGATCTGGGGTGACTAGCGGACACATTGCTCGTACAGCTCTCTGTAGGTTTGCTTGTAGCGTTTCCCGTTGTTGTAGGTTTATTTGAGCGTTTTCTAAGACAGCCGTCACCTGTTCTCTCAGACATTATAGGTCGCAAAGGCTCGGTGTAGATCCCTGAGATGATACCACGGTCGTTTTGGACGTTTGCAACTAAATATCTTGAAGCTGCAGTATGTCGTTTTCATAGATGTGAAAGGATACGCTACAGTCAGCCTCTGTGGAGGCAGATATTGGTGGATCCTGTTTTGGGTGGCGAGAGCCAGAGGTCGTCTCGGATAATTTTTGAATCGGATGCACTTCGCCAATGTCGTCATACTCACAGTCGGACTGTTGGAAAGTGGCAAAGAAAAAAATCAGTTCTTTTATCTGGGATGAAAGTAACTGACTCTATGCAGTAAAACCTACCATATAAGGTTTACTGATATAGTATGAAACAGCACAAATTTTATCTTTAATAATTAAATCATGAATTAAACAAAAATGGGGTAACACTTTATGTTACAGCTTCATAATTTTATTAAGATTACTATTAGGAAAATAGAAATTTCCATTAAAGAAAATCTCCACTCCAACCAAATTAATAATGAATTATAATTCATTTATTATTGTAAATGACTTTTTTGAATTGCATGATTACTTGTCAACAAATTTCTCATTTTGTGCATGTTAAGATGACCTGCTGTGCACTAGATTCCAGATTATACTAGCAATTAATTGGAAGTGTACCATTTGAACAGTGTCTCTATTTTCCATTCAATTAGTAACAAGTTACATAGTTCCTTCAGGAAGCTTCTTGGAAATTATTAGGAAATAACTCAGACCTGTAAAATAAAGTATTACCCAAAATTGTACCACACTTTTTCTCACAGCTGAGTGAATAGGCAGAACTTGATCAGATTTCTCTCCATGGGCCTTTTCCACCAACAACATTTTGTCATATCAAAATAGGAGAAGCACTGGTGTAAATAATAAAATGTAGTGATGGCTGAAATCCATTCAGCTGCTTCAATTTCCAATTCCAAAGGGGGTCCCATAGCAATGACTTTCTGGAGTCAGGCAACAGAGGAGACTTCAAGAATTATATAGAGTCTCTACGGGATTAACAAATGAGATATAACTTAGTGAGTGAGTGAGTTTCAGAGGTGCTGTTAGGTAGATTCTTTTCTACCTTTGGATATATAAAGCTAGGCTAACTCTTTCTCCTTGTTCCCAGACGTTTTAGTGAGCTCAGCTAACGTCGCCTGGCTGTAGCTTTACATTTAACAGAAACACATGGTATTTCTTTTCTCATTCAACTCTCAAGTGCAGACGTTGCTTTAAACTAAAGCTTTAAACTAAAGCAATGCTCCTGTTTGACAACAAGTGCAGTTAGTTGTGGCTTTCCAGAAATTCAAAATAAAAAGCCATGTGATTTGATTGTCTTTTGGAAAACCCCTCTTCATACGTTGACTTCTGAAACCAGGGAAAGAAACTGGATCGTTGACATCTTAATTTAATTTGCTGTCAACAAAATCGTCGCAGTTCTCTAGGAAGAAAGTTGCTGGGCTGTGAAGCGACATACTGATGTGTTGATCTCCAGTTTCTGTCTCTTACCTCTCTTTCATCCTTGCTGTTGGAGCAAAGTTGTGATAGAGGTTTTGAACTTTGTCTGCATTTCCTGAATCTGGTTGCCAGCACCAAGACAGCCAGAATGACAACTCCGCCAACAGAAACGCACAACATGATGCCTAGCCAAAGACAAAGAAAGATGGCTGAACAATTTTACCCATCCACAATAAGTGTCAGTCGCCAGCTGATGTTCATGCACCAACTGTAAATGATTAGATAGAAACTCACTTGTGCTCATGCTCGGTTCTCCTCCATTAGTGCTGTTTGAGGCTGTAAGGCAGGATCAGTTATTACTTTCTATACATTTTATCTGTGATTTATATTTGTGAGGATTAAAATTTGATCATATTTTCTTCTTACCTGTTGACTGGTTTGTAGGGCCTCTGGTGTTGTACGCTAGTTGCGTTGTGTTAGAAACATTCTGATATGTCTTTGTCAGAGAAACGTCTGGTATGACTTTTGTCTCATTTACCATAACTGCACGGGGAACAGTGGTGGAATAAGTATTCAGATCATTTACTTAAGTAAAAATATCAATATAACAAGATAGCTAAAAATACCACAAATCAAAGTCCTCCATTCAAAATCACAGCTACACTTATTTAAACAAATACTTTCATACTTACAGACACACTTACATAAAGTACCAAAAGTAATAATGCCACGGGAGTTATATATTATTATATATTATATTATCAGATTGTTAATATTGCATCAATGCATTAACAGTAATTTACTCTCATAGCTGGTCAGGGTGGAGCTAGTTTTAACTACTTTATATACACCCCATTAGTTTAGTCCTGTGGTTCTCAGCCTAGAGGACCAGTGGCGAACAGCCAATCAGGAGCATCAGGACATTTCCTGGTGGCTTGAGGGTTGTTTGGGCCTTCACACTGCCAATCAACTAGACCAGTGATAATACAGCAAGCAGGACTTAGTTGACGGACCTCTTGCATCACCTGGCCTGTGTATGACGGCTACCTCACTGAAGTACTGCAGCCCGAAGTGTGTGTCCACACCTTTGCTGCCATACCACCTTTCTGCATGGAGTTTGCCTTTGATAATGGCCATCAAAAATCCAGTGTTGATGAGCGGTCGAAAAAGTGAAGACTTGTAACCAGAAAGCAGTCACATGATTTTGGTTTACCCTCATTCAGAGAGAAAGAGAGAGAGAGAGAGAGAGACAGAGAGAGAGAGAGAGAGAGAGAGAGAGCACACTGGAAAATTGCAACCTTTCACTTAATGTTCTTTTAACTTGTAGACTGTGTACAGCCTACACACGGTTTCTGTTATGACTATGTAATACACATGTAATTTCCACTTTCTCCTGTAATAACATGCAATTGCTCAGCTTTTGGGTCAGTGGCTGTGGTTAGGGTTAGAGCAAGTCTCAAGGAAATGTGTG